CCACCACTGCCAATCACTACTAGTTACTAGCATGAACCACTATCATCAACTAAAACTACCACCATCCACCGCCTCTAGTCGGCATTCACCCGTTAGCCATCACCACCAACAACTATCATAATTTAAAAAATTATATATTTTAGTGATAGAATATTAGATTAGTTAGTATTTTATTTGAATTTTATGTTTATTATTTTTCAAATAAATATAAATGTTATGCATTCAGATGTTAAAAATCAAACAGTTTTAACTTTTAGTATTCAGATCTTAATACACATCTTAATATATTCAGATGTGTATTCAAATTCAGATGTCTTAATCTTAATATACATCTTGATATTCAGATGTGTGTTCAGATTCAGACGTCTTACTCTTTAAAAAAACAAATGAGGCCTAATTGTCCGCTACTTTATCTAAAAAGATCAGTTGCCTTTTTCATTTGTAATTTGATTTTCTTTTATGATTTTTCTCATTTATATACTGTAATGACCTGATCGATCTTTGAGAACTAGCGCCCTATTTAGCGGCTTAAGGTCTCGAGTAACTTCATATTATGTATTATGACTAGCGTGTGTGATCGAGTTCGAATTTCGGATGATTCAAAATCCATTTGGAAGAAAGATTCTTGTTTTAGAAGCTTAAACGGTAAGAGTTGACCGGAGTTTGACTTTTGTGTAGAACGACTCTGAAATGGCATTTTGATGATTCCAATAGCTTTGTATGGTGATTTTGGACGTAAAAGTGCGTCAGGATTTGGATTTGGAGGGTCGTAGGATAATTTAAAGCATTTTGGCGAAAATTGAAAAGTTAAAGTTTTGGAAGGTTAAGAGGTTTGATCGGGAGTTAACTTTGTAGATATGGGGCTCGGCGATTCCAAGAGTTGGATTAGCTCCGTTATATCATTTGAGACTTGCATGCAAAATTTGATGTCTTTCAGGGTTGATTTGATATGTTTCGGCGCGAGTTGTAGAAGTTGAAAGTTCATAACTTCATTAAGTACTATTTGAGGTGTAATTCATAGTTTTGATGTCGTTTGATGTTATTTGAGGCCTTGAACAGGTCCGCATTATATTTTGGGACTTATTGGTATGTTCGGACGGGGTCTCGAAGGGCTCGGGTGAGTTTCGGATAGGTTTGGGTTGTGTTGCGCTCGTTTTTTATATTTCGACGTCGTTTCTTCAAGCATAAATGGTACCACAATAAGAAAATGAGCTCCATTTTCTATTTTGATTGAAGCATTAGATCCATATCATAATTACAGAGCCATAGCAAAAGAATCGTCGAATTTGGACATCGTATGAGGGAGTTATGCTCATTTTAGTGTTAGAGAAGAGAGTTAGTGTTGGTGCTTCATAGATGCGAAGTTGGGTCCGCATGTGCGAAACATAGTCTGCAAATGCAGAAATTACAGCTGGCAGACTGCAGGTGCGGAGTTTTGGGCACAAAAGCAAAATTCACTGTGTATTAAAATAATCAGACTGCATTTATTTTGTATTTTGAGCATCTCTTGAGTTCTAGAGCTTCGATTGTGGTGATTTTAGTGGCGTTCTTCTTGTCTTTTCATGGGGTTTAGTATCTAACTATAATTTTTTATATTTTAATATGATTACAAAATTCCATTTTTGAATTAATCCATATTTTGATTGGAGAATTGAAATTTTCTATCAAAAACTTTTCTAAAGAGAATAATTGGGGTTTGAACATCGATTCAGAGTCGGAATTGGATGAAATTAGTGTGATTGGACTCGTAATTGAATGGGTGTTCAGATTTTGTAAGTTTAATCGGGTTTTGAGGTCTGGATCCGGGGTTGACTTTTTACTTTTTGTTAAAGATTGAAGCTTTATTATCCGGAATCATTTCCTGTGAGTTTTATTTATGATTTGAAGTTATTTTGCCTAGATTTGAGCCGTCCAGAGGTTGTTTCACTCGAGAAGGTCATTTTAGTGTAACGCTCTAGCCTCTTTGAGGTAAGTATCTTGCCTAACTTTGTGTGGGAAAACTACCCCTTAGGATTTGAGTCATTTGTGCTAATTGTGTCATGTGAAGACCATGTACGCGAGGTGACGAGTACGTACTCTGACTTATTTGTAAAAATTTGATCTTTTAGGGCTCTTAGGTTCTTATGTTCATTAGATGTGAAGTTATTTTAGCATGCTAAATCCCCCATTTACTAAATTTACCCTTACGTGTCTTATTTGGAATTAATTGATTCATGTTTTATCCTTGTTGCCAATTAGATGCTTATGTGCCTTAATTGAAGATATTGCCTCTTTTATTGCCATGCTATCTTTTCCGTAATTGCTTATCCTTAATTGAAATAATTTTTTTTGTAATTGCTTATCCTTAATTAAAGTTATTGTTATTCTTTCTGTAATTGCCTATCCTTAATTGAAGTCATTATTATCTTTTCCGTAATTGATTATCCTTAATTGAATTTTTAGTATCTTTTCCGTAATTGCTCAACCTTAATTGAAGTTTTGTTATCCTTTTCATTGTTGACTTATCATTATTTAGAATCATTGATTTATGCTATCTCTCTTACCGTCGAGTCGTGCTTATGTGGAAATTATTGTTGCACGCTATCTCTTCCCTTGTTGAGTTATTCTTGTTGAAACCATTATTTGTTGTCTCTTTCATTGTGAGCTCGTTCATCTGTTTCTTTCTGTTTTGAAGTTCTTGAGTTGATTTACTTGTCGTATTCTTGTGTTATTGTTGTTGTTGTTGTACCTAGTATTATTGGGCCGAAGGCTATGCATGGTTGTGGTATAGAAACTATTTTGAGGAAATATTGTGGCATATGGGTACATGTTGTGAAAGTCATTTTATTGCGTTGTTATGTTTTGGCACACGTGGTACTATTGATTGATTCTCGGAGTGTTCGTACGTGGATTGTCCATATTATTGTTACTATTGATATTTGCACATACAACGTGACAAGGCGGACTATATACATGGGTTTGCGCATGTGGCGAGACAAGGTGAGAATATTATTATGCGCGTGCCGCGAGACAAGGCGGGCATTTACTTTATTATTGCGCACGTGGCAAGATAATGTGGGCTATGTCGGGGAATGATTTGTGATGGCCTAGAGGCATTCTTATTGTTGTTATTTGTTTAGTGGTGTGCCTACCATGTGTGAGTTATACCATGTACATTTCGTGGTGATCGTTTCTTATGTGCCATTCATTGTCTCTACTCTACTTGTTGGCTTGAATTGTGGCAGAACACTTGCACAAACATACACGTAAATAAATCACCCATATCGGTTTAAGAAGATTAATCCTGATGTTATTGACCATTTACATGTACCCCCGTGTACTTGCCTTCTGTGTGAGAGTTATCCTGTTGGCACGTGAGTTGTCCGTGCAATCATGAGCCATTATTATTGTTAGCATGTGAGTGGTCCGTATGGATATAAGATATTGTCACTCTCTTGGCACGTGAGTCGTCCGTGCGGTTAGGAATTTGTAATGTGGGCACAAGAGGCCAACTGATTAGGGTTCAAGAATTGGGACCCGTGATTTGTGATTATGAGGTTTGGTACCTCATGGAAATTTCTGAATAGATCTAGTATAAAAGCGGTTGTTCTTGTTGAGTTGTTACTTGTTTTCCTGTATTTGATTTCATTGGACTTAGACTATGTCCATCTTACTCTACAACATTACTATATGTTTGCTTCTTGTTGCTAATTGTTATTTCTAGTTTTTCATTTCGAGTATTGTTTTGTCTTCCTTACCATGCTTAGCTTTATAGTAACATCGTTTCCCCGTTAGTTCACCTTCATACTTGTTTAGGTTGTTTAGTCCAATAGGTGTCTTGACTGTCCCTCGTCACTACTCTACCGATGTTAGTCTTGATACTTACTGGGTACCGCTGTAGTGTACTCATACTACGCTTTCTGTACGTTTTTGTGCAGATCCAGGTATTTAGAACATGCTAAAACTAAGCAAGATTCGTAAAAGGGTACAAAGAGTAGACATCTTACCCGGTTCAATACCTGTTGCGCCTTGTTGAAGAGAATTGATGTGCCTACTTCATTCACCTTCGGCTGTTCCTCCTCGGTCAGCAGCAATGAAGATAGCTGACCACACCCACCAGAGTGGACAACACCCGGGTGTACGCCAGGATAGTAAGCACGACTGTCCTTTTACGGTGGGAATCCACACTCGGGGCAGGAAACTGCCTCACTAGCTTCGAGATTGAGCTCAGATCGCCTACTCCTGATGGCACGTCCTTTTTGGGGACCTCCAGGAGACAAAGCCCGAAATAGTCCTCCAACGCACTTATGTTCATGCTGTCGAAGAACATGTTGAGGGCATCATCTACGCCTCGTACCCGTATTTAAAATAATAAAATGATATTTCATGATCGCAGGGGTTAAACAAATATAAAATACTTCAACCAATAAGCTAAAATAAGAATGAAAAATGGGTCAAACGTTTAGCTTACTCGATAAATTCCCTGCATTGCACACCTGAGATGAAGGGTTTAAATCTCATTTGTAATATAGCATTCCCTTCTTCTTAACGTGCTAAAAGTTTTTTTCTTCTTCTTAATAGCAGTACAAAATATTGGAATAGTAAGTAGTAAATACTCTCCGTTCTAATTTTTGTAAACATATTTTCTTTTTAATCCATGTCAAAAAGAATAATTTCCTTTCATATTTGGAAACAATTTACCTTTATACAATGATTTATAGCTACACAAAATTAATGTACCTCATTTTATAATATAAATTTAAAAGTTTCCCTTTTTTCTTAAACTCAGTATTCAATCAAATGAGTTACACATGCTTTTCACATCAGAAGTCATTTTCATTTTATAAATTATAAATTAAAGCAGAGAAAAGCAGAATTGACATCATCCAGATTTAATTTAACTACTCCTTCCGCCCTTTTCCTCTTACATGGTTGGATATTAGCTGTCAAATAAAACTCTTTTTTTAATATTTTCTTCACAAAATCACAAACATATAGTAGGAGTAGTACTATAAAAACACTTTCAAAAACCCTTCCCACCTTCCACACTTCTCTTTTCTCTTAGCATCGTTCTTTATCGTCTCAGGCCAAACCCTTTTACCAAAAAAGCTCTGTTTTGTCTTCTGCAGTTAAGCAGTTACTCATATACTGCTTTATTGAAACGTTAATTCTTTGGTATTTGGATGTGGGTTTTGAGTAATCTTCAAGTGGAGTTTTGTCATGTGTAGTTCGAAATCAAGGTACTCCCTCTGTTTTGATTCTTCCCTTTTTGTGGTCGTTTAATTTTTAATAACTTAAACTCTCTAATTTTAACATTTTTTACCTACTTTTAAAGAAGACATTGTAATAGAACTTTATATGTGTGTGTGTAGCGTTGGTGTAAAAATTAATTCCTTTTCTTTTGAATTTTAGGGAAACAGCATCATATTGTACAGTAGAATTTTCTTATTGTTTCTATTGAAATTGATGATTTTCTTTGGTTTTCTAAGTTTTTGAGTTTGATGGGTTATGCTTGAGTCAATCTTATTGAAATGTTTAGTTTAGATGATCTTTTCTAGCGTCATGTTAGTTGCTTGTAGCTTTTTAATAAGCTTAATTAGCATGATATAAGGTTTTGATTTTAAAGATGATTGTGTACGCAAATGGCTGCCTTCATGCTTAATTAATGATAGTATTAATTTCCTTGAAGTTGGTCCCACTGAAGTTGGTTTCTTTTCTCACCCCTATTCACACTACAGAATACTTAATACAGAAAAAAAGACATCCATTATATTAATATAGGAGCAGAACTTCTCCAACTTGTGTTTTATTCTTGGTGAAGTTTAGCAGAATAATTGAGCAAAAATTTTTAAACATAAAATAATTCATGCAATTATGTAGGCATAGATTCTATTGTCGATGGTTGGCTTTTTTTAATGCATTCCTTATTATACTCTTAGTTTGTTTTATATTATTAGCACAGAATATGCATTCCTTATTCTGACATAGTTTATGTAATATATAAACAGATGATGGACTATTTAATTGCTTATTCTCTTTGAAATGTATGTATTATTCTTCCATGACAGTTCCTTGAACAATCAAATGCCATATATATACCAAACAGTGCATTTATAAAATTGGTATAATTGAAGTTGCTCCAGAAGTTTGATTGGATCGGCTGCATATACACTTTTTTTTTAATTAGTGTGGTGTCCAGGCCAGTTTGTGCGCACCAGCACAGGTACTGGGTAACTCTATCTACGGAAGCTTGGATATTGGCTGCATATACAGATAATGAAGTCCTTTAACTAATCAATAAGAATAGATGTCGGGTTGTAGATAGAAAAGGAAAAAAAAGGGAGAGATGTTTAAAATATGGTTCTGTGGTGTGTACTTATATCATAAGGGTTGCTAAGTCAAAGACTTGAATGAGCGGGGCATTCTAAAATTGTTCTCTGCCTTCGGGATCTCTGCAAGAAATAATTGATAACTGCAATAATCTCTAATCAATGCCTTCTCTAGGAGAGAATAAGATGGTAGTTTTGCCTTCCTAATTCTTGGTATGCTTCCATATTCTTTCTTTTATTTTTAAGTATTATTGGTGTGTTTCTTGGTCAGCTACCAAAGAATCTTGATAGTTAACCATGTGAAATGGAAGCTTTTCACATTGCAAACAAAAATCCTTAGTATAGTGGTTTCTACTATATCATGTTTTGTCTCAGTTAAATTCCTTACTGAAAAAGCCTTCACTATGACCAGAGAGTATGATCATTCAACTTTTAACGGCCATCTGGTGCAACGTTACTGACAAAATTTGTTAAGAGGTGATAGTGTTTCTAATCAGCCTGTCTTTCAGGGTGCTGAGAAAACAAAGGTGACTTCTAATAGCCATTTATTTGTCTGTCTATTAGTTTCCTAATAGCCATTCTCTTTTCTTTTATGTAGGAATTCTTTATGTCAATGTTTTGAGAAATCAGGGTGACTTCTGAAACACTTGTATGTCTATTAATATCCATTTTCTTTCCTTTTTAGTAGGATTGCTATTACTTTTTGGTGAGTTGAAGCAATAGAAGGAAAGATGCTGCAACACAAAAGAAGCCCTATTTCCCTTGAGCATAGCACCAGCCTCACATCTCTTACACCAAAACGACTTAAGGCCGATATGTCTATTTCCTCCAAGGTTTCTTCTCCTTCCTTTTGCTGCAATGCTGTTATTGTTGTTGGCGTGAACATGTTTATGGACAGAGATATTTTTGATGAACTCATTCTCTTATGTCGATTCTCCACTAGCTCGTGGAAGTTGAGAATTTTCATTTCTTGGATGCTTTCAACATGGGTTGGCAGTAATATACTGAATGATGAACATAAGATTCTTCGCTGAACAGAGACACCGTTCTGGTGTGTTATACATTTCACTGAAATTAAGATTTAATATTTTGATTGACTTTTAATCTTAAGGCTAAGAGTAAATCTGACCAAGAAAATCTAAAAATAGTTCCTTCAAGTTACCTACTTGGAGTCTTCGAAATGTGTGATGGCTGTTGAACATATTTGTTTGACTGCTCTGAGTCACAAATTTGTTTACAATGAGGAAATTAGTTATATATCAATCGATTGTGTGATGCTTTTGAAAATTGTAAACTGGTGCATCTGTTTTTTAGCAATGTGCTGCAACCCTTATCATTGAGTTCTTGAAATGGAGATTTTTCTCCTTTTGCATTTTTCCTTGAAATAGGAGAAGAAGGAGAAGTTTGGCGAACGAATAGTAGCTCTCCAGCAGCTGGTGTCACCATATGGCAAGGTACATTCTGTAGGAATTGAGCAATGAATTAGAGCTATTATTTCAAGGGAAAAAATTAATCTATATAGAATATGGTCTTTGAGGTACCAAATGGTGGAATATCTTAGTGATTGAGATTTTCCCTCGCACTTGTATGTCCAAGTAGAGCCGCTCAAATTTAACAAGCTCACCCAAGTCTTACTAATCTGCCAAATTTTCACCATATGGATAAAATTCTGGTTTCTGTTATATTTGCAGACAGATACGGCTTCTGTTCTTTTTGAAGCAATGGGATACATAAAATTCCTCCATGAACAAGTGAAGGTGTGTTCTCGACATCTTTTTTCCTTCGTTCTATAGGCACTACATTACTGTACGTCTGAACAAAGACAAACAAGTTAGTAGCTCCGACAAAAATATCTTCTGAATGGAGTATCTTGTCGGGATAGTTTCTTCTTATTATATAGAGATCCCTGCTGTTAGTGCTAGATTAGTCATTATCTCTTTCCAAATTAGGAACATATATGTTTTTGTCACCTCCTTGGATGAGATTGGTTCTGGGAACTTCTATGCTGCGGCTTTGATTTCAACATTTAGTTCTATTTTTTTTTTATTTTCCACACTTGTTTGGATGCTTTTGCTCTGGTTATTCAAGTCCTTTTTTACTAATTTTTAAGGAATGGAATTTGTTCTAGAAGTATTTGCACTGCAAATCTGGGTATTTGTGTTTGCTATTCCGAAGTTATGATGATCTTTCCACACTTCTTTGGGGCCTGGACAAGTTTTGTACACAAAGTAAGCTATTGAAATATGGTGAAAAAAACAAGAGGCCGACGATGGTCTTGAAGTTAGATTTTCGGTATGATTACTACAAATGAATGTGATTTTATGTTACTCTCATGGGCGAAGCTACACTTTGCTTTTTTGTTGGAAAATTGCATTGCGTATATAGGTAAAATATTAGGTTTTAGAGATACATAAAACACCCTTTGTCGGATTGTTTTTTTACTTATTTCAAGTTTGAACACCCTTGAGGAAATTTCTGGCTTCACCACTGATTACTCTTGCTGTGAAGATTAATGGAGAAGCAAAATCTTTGTTTAAAAAGCTTTTTGAGGGTTCTAAGGAAGGATATATCATCTTTGTTTTTCTTGTGTGCTCGAGCTGGTGTTTTGAGTAGGTAGATTCAAGAGCAGTTTCCAGTTGTTGGAGGTTGATCTGGTTATGTTCTCAATACCTCTAATAATTTCAAGGAATTTTATATTATGGTTTTAGAAGATCTGTGTGATTTTGGAGTACCATTGTTTGCACGAATGTACACGTGTCCCTCTAATAAACTTCGCTTGCTCCTCATCGCAGCTTCCCCTATTTCTATGTCTTGGTTTGTAATTAGGTTTTTCATCTGTTTTATTTAACTTTTAGGATTTTCACCACATACTTATGTTCATAGTACTCCCAGTACTAAATTTTATGTCTGAAAATGTCCTACGAATTTAAGTGATTGGAAGGTCATGTTTCCATATTCTGTAATTTCCTCTTTCTACATTTTCTCTGCATCTTTTTCTGATTCTAGTTGATGCAAGTATGTAGAGCCTTTGTTTTGTCCTATATTTGGAAGCAAAGGTTCCCCACAGATTTGAAACTTCCAGTGTGGTCTCTAAATCATCTGTTACTTTACGAAAGGTGGAACAGAGAAGGTTATACCTTGTCAAAGTGAATAGTTTTTACTGCTATCTCATCCAGATCTTGGTTATGACGGTTTTAATTGAATTACTATGCTATGTTCAATCTTAGCTCATTTAAGTTTCTGCCGGAAATGGTATGCCTCATTTTGTTTTCCTGGTTCTTTCAGGTGTTGAGCGCACCATACCTCGGAAGTATGCCAATGTCTAAGACACAGGTTAGAGCCTGATAGCACCATTTCTGAATTTGCTTATTCTTGTATCTTCATCCGAGCATGAAAAAAGGCGACATCTAAGCAGTAAAAAAACCTTCATTACAACATTAGGAAACTCTATGAGACCTTAATTGCAACTTTATTGAACTCTATGGTCAGTCATTGATGTCAATTATATCGTATCAACTGGACTTGGAATTTAGCTTTTATCACAAAAAGTTTTCCACTCCTTGTTGAAATGTTATTCATGTTTTCTTGTGAAGGAATCACAACCTTGCAGCTTGAGAAGCAAAGGCTTATGTCTTGTGCCAGCTTCATATACCGTTGGAGTAGTCAGCAGCAATGGTGCTGATATTTGGGCTCCCATTAAGACCTCACAAAAGTTCTAGAGAATGATATCGGATCAACTATCGATAGCATCCCATTTTAAGGTCTTGAATTAATAATAACACAAAGCATTTCCAAAAAAAGAAGCCGGAAAGATGCATTTTTCGACATGGAGCTGCAGGTATGGATGATTTTCCTGGCAGGGTGCACTTGATTTTGTGGTTCAAACGTCTAAGGCTAACCTATGGCTTGTACTTCTGATAGATACTAGTAGCGAGATCTAATTTGAGGGCTAATATAAGGATAACATGAACTATGTATCCAGGTGTTAACAGAAATGTATATTGATGAAAGCAAAGTTATGTAGTGATCTTAGCTGGAAATGTATCAAGGTTGGACTTGTATTATATGAGAAGCGTTGAGAAACTCTAGAACAACTTATTAATTCAGGGACAATATTCTTAGGCACTGTCTTTTTTTTTTTGTTGTTGTTGTAATGATGTTCATTTTGTTTAAATTATTTTTGCATTCTTCTCCAAAGGATGATATAAGAATGATATTGTCTCGTCGATTCAATCTGTCACTGTTCCTATATCTTCAGATGGCCATATTCATAACAAACCACAAATGCACATGAACTTTTTCATGGATTTGTCAATAGAAGAGCCATCCGTATTGCACTTTAACCATGATCCTTTATGGAAAGGTTATACCTGAGTTTCTCCCTTCAAGCCAACAAACCAAAGGTCTCCTTTCTCCAGAGAAATTCTTTAGTTGTTGATATACAGATCCTCCTAGCAAAGCTTTGATATTACCTTTTTTCCCAAATATGATCTTATTGTAGATCATGAGTTCAAGTCGTGCAGCCTCTTGCCAAAAATGCAAGGTGAGGCTGTCTACATATTGTCCAATGTGTGAGGGGAGTGTTAGTGCAACAGTAAAAGTTGCCGTCGTGTGATTAACCCTGCGCATAGGGAGAGCTTAGTGCACTAAACTGTCTTTTTCATGACTAACCCTGTGCATAGGAAAGCTTAGTGCACTAGACTGTCTTTTTTCTTTTCTTAATGATCCTACTTGCAAATAGAGTAGCTTGATGCTTGTTTTTAATTTCCTCTCTTCTAGATGTATAAACACATGTTGAGTGGGACCCCATTTGACCAAATACTCTCATACATTGGGTTTTCTTCTGTGAACACCTTATACATGAAAGAAACGTCTTGGGAGAAGAGAGATCCAATTTTATTTATTGGTTTGAGTTTCTCATTTCCAACCCATTCCTCTTTTAAACATTATGGGATTGTTTGGAGAATTTGGTCTTGTTTGAGGTCACTCTTTAAATATTCTTTATTTCCACTGGGTGCAATTTTTATTTCTTTGCTGGCAAATTTACCCATTCAATTAATAGGGACATAATTGGGCGAAGTGCTACCTGGTCTCATTTCCACGACATAATTTAAATAATAATTTTAGCAAAGGGCAGTTTTGCAAATGCCCCATCATTATCATCTCCTCAGAGGAAGGGACTAAGGTCAAACCTTTAATTCCACAATCTTTCCAAGTATTTAACAACCAAACTAAGAGGACCTTGTGAGTAATGCACAAGTACTTAAAAACATGAGTTAACCGACATATTAAAGGCTTGCCTAGCCAGGGAAATGCCAACAAACCATTTCGTGAAAAGGGATTTAACAATATGCAAATTTCACTTTAGATCTACGTAATTGGAACTGCAAATTAACTTGAAATTCACATAGCAAGATAACTTATCTTCACAAAATAGCTAATCACTCAAAGAAGACAAATAATCTCCTTTCCCTATCAACTTCATATTCCGACGTGTAGGAAATATCAGTTCATCCATAAAGGGTGCTCTAAGGCTCATTAGAGTTATTAAAGTTAACTGTAATATTCTTTATATTAAGACATTTTAGTGTATAATAAAAAATATTGTACGCAGTATTTTTCTCGCGTCCCTTCTCTTAAAATCATGTTATAGTGTAGACTGTGATATTAGGAGTTGTTCCATTACACCGTGATTACTATTGTCGACCAGTAATTTCCATCGCTGTTCATTCGGTCTTTCGCTTCTGCTACACAAGAAAGAGTAAGTTATCTTTTTACAATTTTCGTATTATCTATTTAATATAGATTAACATAATTCTTCATTAGTATCAGAGACATAAACTAGTTTTTGGGGCTAGAAACATATATAGAATAGTTCTAAAATATGCATTTTCTTACTATGCAATTAAGACTGTTAATCTATTTAATATATTTTTTTATAAGTTGTGTCACAATCCAATTTAGGATCGTGATTAGCACTTAAGAGCAAATGCCCCAAATAAGACTCGTCAGTATTTTACAGAAAAGTGGACAAATGTTTTCTATTTTAGGACTATCCAAAAATTGTTATATCTCGTAAATAAATAACAACTAACCATTATTTACCTAAATCAGTCACGATCTTCATCAACTAAGCAAAAATGAATATCCACTCTCCACCAACGTTACCACCCTTTTCAATATAATAATATTAAATTCATCTACAAAATACGGAAAGAAAGTATAATACTTGTAACTCGTCCATATTAATGAAAGTATACTCATGACACTAATAAAAATGACTATGGAGTGACTCTAAAAATTCAAAAGAAAAGACTTAGCAATTAATAAATAAATTCTTCGCCACGCAAACGAGTGCCGAACTCACCAGGAACTATCAGAAGTGCGCTCTAATTGACGAAATACTCGCCCGCACCAACTGTTATCTTTGTAAAAAAATAGAGATAAGTCGCTAGCTCAGTGAGTAATAACACTTAACCATAACCATTTTTAATTGGGGACAAGTCAAAAATATGCGAGTATATTAATAAGAAAATATCATAAAAATACCCTTTCATAAACAGTAAACAATAATCAGTCTCATAAAGTGTCTTATGTAAATAGAATTCAATTAACAATTAGGAAATAAACTCAATAGATACTGTGTCATATGAAATATTCATGTTTGGGAGGTTCTAAAGAACATATCATGTAATCAGTATAACTATGGACATTTTCGTAAGAGGTCAAACATAATGGTAGTCCATTCTCGAGGATAATCAATAATGGTATGCTAGTTCTACCTTCTTACTAGTGAGGGCTCCAACGTGAATCGATAATTACGAGGTGCACCACGTCTAACAAACCCCCGTTAGCTACGTGATTTTTCAAAGTTTCCTCCCTTTTTGTACTTGTCTTTATAATCAATAAATGTTAGTTTGAAATACTTTCAAATAGTATAGTGATAACTATATATTCTAGCCTATCTTATGCTCTCTTTTGCTTAGGTTTTGGATAAAAAATGTGTAAAAGTATTTTCGAAAACTGACTTATTGTGCTTGTTTGCTGGGTTTGGTCAAAACGAAGCAAGAAAGTCAACTAGCTCATAAAGGAGTAAAATCTGCACAAGTTTAAAGCTGAGATAAAAGCGCTGACAGCGAAGGAAAGAGCGGCCTCAGAAGGTCCACTGCTGAGGCGGCCGCAATTACGCTGACAACGGAATTGAGGTTCAAAGAAGGTGTTTTGGATGCAGACAGGGACCGCTGACCGCGATGAAATAGCGCGGCCGCGGAATACCTGACGCGACCGCGGTGCAAATTCAGCTGAGAGCGAGATAAAGAATCAGATACCTTGCAATATGATCTCAAATGAAGAGCACGATCCGCGAACATTTTACGCGGCCGCGGTTGATGCTAACGCTGAGGCATCTCTTTTACGCTCCCAGCGAAATCAAGTCCATACCAAGCACAAAAGAGAAGAAACGCGGTCCGCGCCTGCTTTTGCGCGACCGCGAAAGTCCAAGCGCTGAGACACTCAGTATTGCGCTGACAGTGGAACCTCCGTAGGGGTATTTTTGTCCAGTAATTTCAGCTGTGTATAAATAGATCTTTTTCACATTTTTAGGTCATCTTTTGTATCAGAGAGCTCGTGAACAGCCGTACTTTACCACTTTGAGTAATTTTAGAGCAGCTTTAGCTATTATTCTTAGATTTTATTCTTGTAATAAACTTTTATGGCTTATATTTCATCTCCATCTTTGATTTCTACCTTGATTATGAGTAGCTAAACCCATTAACTAGGGTTGTGACCCAATCCTAGTGTGAGTATTTATTGGGTCTTCTATTTTAGGACTTAATTGTTTATGGGTTAGTGATATTTAGCTTGATTCATACTTTAATTGTAGAATTAGTGGTTGCAAATACTGATTTGTGCCTTTATGACTTAGACTCTTCTTGAGAAAGAGGGACTAAATCTAGAAAAATTAGACTAACAAGGAATTGGGATGCATTCAAGAGATTAATAGCCCCAATTAAAGGGTTAAACCTAGAGATAGTAATATCCGACTTGAGCTAATTTTACTTGCATTATTTGAACACCCGATTGGGCTTGAGAAAGCCCATTAGGGCAAAGTCACTCGAACTACCGAGAGGTATAGAGTGAGTAATTTTGTGTAAAGGTTATATCACGATCCCAAATATAACAAGCTTGTCCTAAATTTTAGATCCCATTAAATATTCGCCTAGGTGTAAGTCACTTCCCTAGTGCTTTTTATCAATTGAGAAAACTTTTACAAAAATATTATACTTAGATTATTTCAGCAATCAATAGCATTAAAAGTAGAATAGTAACAAATACAAAGCATGGTTAGAAGTGAAATTAAAAGCAACACGCATAGCTAGACTAAATAGAAACCCAACTCCCAACCAATATTAACTCCCCGCGGAAATCGATCCCGACCCTTCGAGTAAAAGCTACATCGACCACTCCTTGCCATTATATAATGGTGTAGGGTTGGAGCTGATCATATAGCGCATTCCAGTTCTTATCCAATCATATAATTTTATTTCGAAAACAGTAATCTTATCTCAAGTAACGATAAGACATGTCAAATAATAGTAAGAACATTCAAAATAACATTAATCATCTCAAATAAATATTTTGGTATTATATCAAGTAAAAAACTTATCCCACATGCAAATTTAAAACAGGTAGTAACGTATTCATATTCGAAATTATGTGTAAGTCATGTAAGTCATGAAAACACAAATTGCAGTAAGGTTAATACGCACCTTACGATGCCAACTAATCAATGCTCGACGCCTTATTAATCCAAATGCTCAATTTGTGTGAAATCCGTAAATCAGTAATGTTATAACCTATCGACTCCATAAATCCATTTTTCTAAATAAGTATCTATCGAAATTCGGTTTTCTACTCTCAAGATCATTTTCAACTTTTTTCTAAGTATATTGGAAACTAGTTGAAATTAGTAATTATAAGTTTACCTCTCTATCTCTTCTTATTAGTTATACATGTGTTTATCCTCAAAACAGATAACAATTAAATTTGTAAGTGGTTTTAAGGGTACGTAAATTTATTCAATACAAACGGTAAATTACATTAGATTGAACAAATAAAGATATGGTAAATTCAAACTATGTGAGGAGGATGATTCCAGCCTCAATGAAATATCCACCATCGATCCGGACTCACAATGGCCAGCACTGATGAATAA